TGACCTTCAGTAAAAAAAAAATTACCAATCAGCACGTGTGCTATGAGCGAGCGTACGGTTCGCGTGCAATGTTCCGAAACTCGTTTCCTGGTTACGGTTCATTAATATGCTAATTCTCGCGCCTGGCTAATCCAGATAGTCTGAACGCCCAGCAAAGTTAAGCCTGGTTTAACGTAAGCCGGGCTTAACGTAAGCCTGGCTTATTATCAAGTCTGAACGTGCCTGAACCATTATACTAGGCCACGTCGTTTTGTGGGACCTTAGCAGCACTGTATATTCAAGGGGAGGGGCTTAGAGGAAAGGTCCATTGTGACTTCCAAGTAGGAAAATGCGAAATTATAATTGGGTCGGCACCATGAGTTTTAAATATGAGATGTGCTTTAACTTGTTGAAACTGTGTCTTGCAGCGTTGAGACTTGGCCAGTGTGTTTCTAGTTCAATCAGTAGGCCTACATTTCAATGAGTATTACACAACGATACAATGCATATGAATTACCACTGTTTTCAAACTATCAAGAATTTATTAATAGTATTATTGTATTTCAAATATTTTGATAAAATAAATCTTTAATATTATTTTAGTCAACAAAACCACTATATAGACTGTTTTTAAGTTAATCAAGTTAATTGGTAAAATTCATGTTATAAAAGTATTGCAGTAGCATTGGTTTTACAGTACATAGTATGAGGAAGTTACAATATTTAGTACTTCATTAATACTTTCACGTACCAATGTCCATACCGCGGTTATTTTTTATTGCTCTTGCCCTGAAGGTCCAGAATATGGGCGGCCAACATGGCCAAAATACACAAAGAACAAAAACGTAACTAAAGGCAACACCAATAAGTGATGTTAAATATAAAAGTTCCCATATACGAATACTATACAATACTTTTTACGTTTTGCACATTAACTCCAAATTGTAAATATGGCAATTTAAGGGTCTCTCTTAAAACAGGACAATATGAGAGAGCATCACTTAAAAATCAAAATTAATTTTATCATCTATAATATTATTAGGGAATAATATAATTGATGATAAAATTAATTGATATTTCAGTGATTGTCCTATTTTTAGAGAGACAATTAAGATTAAAGACAAAGATAATGTTAATGTTTGTTATTTTAGATTGCCACATTTACAATTTGCAAATATGCGAAAAAATTAACATAATCACTTTTTACGTTCTTTTGAAGGACGCCTTCTAGTAAATTTTTTTTTTAAATAGGATTGTGTTCCAAAGAAACCCAGACAGTCGGACCTCTTGCAGCTCTTTGATGAAAGCCTGTCGGCCAAGGCAGTCAGCCTTAAGTTCATCTCTTTGAAATTGTTTTGCATTGTGCATTTGAATTTATTCCTTCAAAAAATTTGCATTTTAAATTAATAAATAATTATTAATACAAATTATTGTTGCGAAGCAGCCAATTCATATTCTTGACAGCAATTTGACCTCTGAAAGGTCATTGTTTGTCAAAAAATAAGGGCCTAAAACGACTGAAAAGCGGAGTTTCCTTCTTTCGTTCTGCCGGATAAAATAAAATTACTTTAGGCGACGTTTGTAGACTAACCAACACGTACCAACGTCCGCATGTCGCATTAGCCTAGGCCTAGACTAGCTAGGATGTTATAGGCCTAGCCTTGAAGGGACGATGGTCCCATTGAAAAACAACGTCGCTCCTTGATAGCTAACATTGTCTATTTAACATCACAATAATTCATTATTAGACCTATAGTTGTTTTTTGAATTGTACTCAACAAAATCTCAGCCGAAACCTCGCACAACTCGTTAACGTCTCTATCTATTGTCGTGACGTCATGGCTCGCCGGCTCACACACTTGTGATGTCGCGCACTTGTGATCAAATAAAACGCTGGCTCGCACTTTGGCAACACTCTTTGGCAGTCAACTCGCCCCTAGAAAACCCGCCCTTGAAAACTTTCCCCATAAAAAAATGTACACTTCCTAGACATGCAGTCTTCAAAATAAAAATTGTAACCTTTGGCTGCCTTTGGTAATCAACTACATATTCCACATACATACAAATTTTTGAAACGTTATTAAAAAAAACCTAAACCATAATTCACCACTATAGAAACTTTTTGACAAAAATGAAAAATTACGACTTTGTTACCCAATGAGAAGTGTTCTAATATAGACAATGGGTCGTGTCTCATATTATTTGTTATATTTTTATTATTCATTATTTTCACTTGACTCGCATAAATAATTTTGTTCGAAGAAAATTTATATGCAGTTGTACTTCGCAGCACTTCACTTGCAATTTGCAATTTCTAGTTATTATATATAATAATATAATACAGATTTTCTGATTGCAAGTATAAAATATATTCAAAGGTTTTACAAACAATTACAATATATTGTGAAACACTTTATAAAACAATATGTGTATATACAAAATACTTTATCATTATTTTGGAAGCCAAATATTGCAATATCACTACAACAGAGGTGATATAATATGCTATAAGTTTGAATCCATTTCAATTAATTCATCACCTTCTCCTTCCTCAATTTGTACGTCATCTTCTCGGTAAACTGTGTCCCCATTTAAAAGAGGTGATGTCTTCAGTTCTCCATCATTACTAGACTCTGCATTTTCAGTTGGTTCACATGTTACCATAGCTGGCTGGTTTCTTTTCTGTAAAGTACAAAAATCATTAAAAAAAATGATTAATTAATTAATGATTAATTTTATTAAAATGCTCTTTAAAATATTTACTGTCGTCCAAAAGCAAAGGAAGCCAAGAGGATCAGAGTACAGTTTTATAACTCTGGTAGTAGTCACTTGTGGCCATTTACAGGCCAAGTTCTATATTCAAATGAGTTTCAAAAGGTTAGAGACGTACCATTCTGTATTCTGTGATAAATGATGCTATTTGAACCGATATAGTTTCTACAACAAATCCAGCAAGTAGTGCTGCAACGCCTAATGGAGCACCATGGAGTCTGCAAAAGAAAAAGTTTTAGCCTGTAAGAACCATACATACATTTTTACGCTATTATTTTGTGGGTCCTTAGCAACAGTATCCAAGGGGTGGGGCTTAGCAAAAATGTCCATTAAGTCCAAAAGTGACGTATGGTCATGATGACATCATGACCATATATAGGCACATCATGAACATATATAGGCACATCATGATTTTGCAAATGGGTGTTAATATGCCAGTAAAGGTAGGAGAATATCACGTCGTTGTGGTGAATTGCATATGGATTACCAGCCGCCATAAAGAGAGACTTAGTAGCTACATGTCCACAACAATAACAGGGACTATGAGCCATAGCACCCAGGTAACCCCCCTACTCTTTCGAAAGATGCAATGGGTTCTCTAAAGTGCACACCAGCCAAATGTGTACACTAGATCTCCATTATAACTCCTTATCGGAGAAGACTTGGTTCTACCAACCAAACCCAGGACGAGGTGCAGTACTGATGTTAACGCTAGAGCACTACACTGGCTGTTGGATGTACAAGATTTTGTTCTTACCCCATCTTTGGAAAGACAATCAAAACAATGATTAGGAAAACCATTCTTATAACAGCACTGGGGAACAGGGCAGCAGTTTTCTTCATCATGAGCAACCAAGACGTGTTGTGGGAACGCCACCCAGCTACGTAAACAAAAAAGAATCAATGTTAGAAATATAGCAGAAGCGAGTCCCAATTTTCTTTTTTTAAGTTAAAAGGGAGAAATTCAACCAAACAGCCGATCTGATCCTAATTTATGCTATTGATGGGCAGCACAACAATATTATTTAAGCTTAGTGTGAATGAAATTTAAAACAATATTAAGTGCAACTTACTGAATAATGGAAAAACAGAGAAGATTTTCAATGGTACAACACACATAAGTGCAACCTCCATCGATAAATCTAAACTGTTAGTGTAGAAACTTGTGACAATTCCTGGAATCCAAAATAAGCTGAAGCTAATCTAAAAATCAAACAAGTGCATAATGGTTAGGGTTTTAGGCTTCCAATGCCAGTTTCCTGGGTTCAAATCCTGTATAAAGTGAGTTTTGTTGGTGTAAAACAATTTATCAATCAATCAATCGACTGATGGATTCACTGATTCATTGCAGGTGCATTGAAAGAAGTAGGGTTGGGCAGGTGCAGTCTGATGGTCTTCTTTATAGAATAATTTGGTTTCTAGATGTTTAGATATACACTTTCCTGTATTCCTATTAATAAATGAATACACTCTGAATTCATATGTTTCCCTACTTCAGTATGTAAAATTAATATTAGTTTAATCAAAGTTGAGTTCACTGTTGTTATTGATTAGTGATGCATTGATTGGTAGTTGTTCAATAAGTGATCAGTTTATTGATGGTCAATTGACTGGTTGGTCAATGGGTTGACAGTTGGTTTCATTTGTTAATGATAAATCAATAGTAATTAATTGATTTGTAATTTATTAATTGATCAATATATTGGTGATTGATCAACCAATTGATTGTGATTGATTGGCTATCAATCAATCAGTGAAATATTATGTATGGTCAATTGACTGCTATCAATCGATCGATGAATTAATTGATTGATTGATTGACTCATTGATTAAATGTATTAAATTAATTCACTCTACCATTAATACAATTGAGAGACAGCATATATCAAAATTCCTTATATGTCTTCTGTGTACAAGAGTGCCCTGATTGTTCTAAAAGTAAAGAAGAATAATTCCAAAAATTTTAAGACATAAGAGTTTAATACTAGGCCTATATAGGAGTGATGTTTTGCCCTACCTGACATGGTACATCAATATCTTACGAAAAAAAATTGCAAGTGATTCAGGTGGGAATCGAACCCACAACCTCCAGGAACTATCCTGGTGCCATAACCACTAGACTACCGAGCTTGCGCCTAGTGACTAGTGTTGATTCCGATCCCCAAGAAGCAGTGGATTCTGCAAGTATTTTTTTAACGCACTGAGTATTTGGTACAATAACACATACTGAATATTCAAAGCATTAGTCATAGGATATTTTTTAGTTTAATACATAGCAATGCATAGCACTTTTTTTTCATTTTTATACACTGTATTTAACATTTTGTGTCTTCTAAGCTGTTCACAATTATTTTTTAATGTCATAGACTATATCAGAATTTATAATTTATATTAAACAATTTCATACTTTTATGTAAATTCCTACATATTAATGTTCCAATTCATACCTTCAAAAAGGCTGGCTGAAGAGATTTCAGCTCATTTAACCAACCATATGGAATTCTACCTGTTGGGTACACTAGGGTTAGTACGGCTATGGCCTGAAAGAAATAAAAACACCATCAAAAAAAGAAAAATTCTGAAACCATAATGATATTATTTTCAATATCATTATATCAAATTACAACGTTTATTGAGGTATTATGCAGCACCTTGAATACCACTTGTTTTCTCTCTACCCTCTTCTCCTTTTATAGCTCTATTTTAGGGAGGGGGTCCTGGCCCCAGGAGGAGGTTCTAGCCCCTGCACTACACAAATATTTTTCGAACCTGAACAGCTTCATCTGAGCCTCCGAGGTCTCTGGCTACAAACAGGTTGATCATCGGTCGGCTGATTTTCTGGACAGCTTGGACAATTGCAAGTGGCCACCAGAACATGAGCACTCGTAGAATACTCAAACTGCTTTCCTAAACAATCCAAGATAATTAAAACATATAATTCTGTTGCATCATGAGAAGTAATGGTTGTTTGTTAAAAAAAAAATTTACATACAAAAAAATCCATTCAATAAGGCAATGAGGAACATCAATAAATTTAAAAAAAATAAATAAAAAAAAAAAAAAACGAAAAATAGGAATAGAGCCATATCTAACAGTAATGGACAAGTGACAAAAATCATAATAAATTCAAGTATTATAGGAATGAAAATAGGAGCAGGTGTGGCCGCAGTGGGCTTGAGAACTGCCCGCCAGACACAGCTGGCCGAGCTGTCAAGGAAGTCGTGGTAAAATATATTATTAGATTCATTTGTTTACCAGATTCAGGCCATTTTTGGGCAATAAAGTTAAAGAAAATGTTTTGAATTACTTCCTTGAATTTTCCAATAACAATTGTAGGCCTATGTCATTTATTAGATACTGAATGGAAAGATAGCCAATATTATATTAACAACTTTTTAGCTCTGATGAGGAACTCTAGGAGTACCCTGCTGACTGATTAAGTAATAAATCTTTTTTGTGTGGGCGGCCGTTAGGGCAAATATACTCTACTGTCTATATACTGCCCTCTTCAGAGCTTTCAAGATTATGAGATGTAAATTAACGTATTTATTCAAATATTTTTGGATCTTCATTAAGAAATTCTAACAAATAATTAACGTTTTAGAAAAAAGTGTGAGCTTTTCTCCCATAGGTCAAGGAGCCAAGTCTATCACTTTTTTACACACTATTCAACATTAATCGCCTTACGTTTGTTTGGGTTTCGTTCGTCCTTCTCACTGTTCTGTGAATGAGGAATCCAATGAAAAGTATACTGAACCGAGTCAAGATGCCAGTGTAGACAGCAAAGATGTGTATAAGAGACAGGTACAAGAGTGACCTGATTGTTCTGGAAGTAAAGAAGAATAATTCCAAAAATGTTAAGACATAAGAGTTTAATACTATACAGGAGTGATTTTTTGCCCTACCTGACATGTTAACGTACCAAATACTCGGTACATTCCTAAATATCTTTAAAAAAAATGCAAGTGATTCAGGTGGGAATCGAACCCACAACCTCCAATAACTAGCCTGGTGCCATAACCACTAGACTACTGAGCTTGCGCCTAGTGACTAGTGTTGAATCCGATCCACAAGCAGCAGTGGGTTCTGCAAGTATTTTTTGGGAACATTCTGACCTGTCTCTTATACACATCTAGATGTGTATAAGAGACAGCTTCAGTTCTTCATCATTACTAGAC